AGGGAGGGGGAAGCAACCCACAACCACCCCACACCACAGGGAGGGGGAGGAGGAACCATTGGGGGGGGGAGGGGGAGGGGGCCGGCTGAACCGGGAACATATATTGCAGTTGGGTTTACGTGCAACTGCATAGAGTTGGGGCCTTTGGTTATGGTTTTTGCTTATAAGACATTATATATTAGGTCTTATGACATTGGCCCAATAGCTCGTATATATGGTTTCACGTAGGTCAGACCCAATGATACAGTAACTTCGCGTAACTCTGCGTAACTTTGGTGTAACTTTACGTATGCTGAGTCCCTACAGAGAGAGGTTTTACGTTAGATAAGTAACACTGAGAAGGGTCTCGGACGTAGGTTGCGTAACTACCCGTGACTTTGCGTAACTTTGCGTAACTTGCTTACAGGTGCCCTGGCTGCCGTATGGCTGAAACCCTTCTTAGCAAGGTTTTACAAAGCTAGAGCGCTCTGGCTTTTAGGATCGGCCTGTGCTCTGCTGATCTATGATGCCGCTACAGAGCAAATCAGCTCGAAGTGAACCCAAGTCAGTTCGAAGTGAGCCCTACCCTGTGAAGAAGAAAGGAGCTGCACCTGCCGTTCCTTGGATAAACCTAATCGTTTTGGGGATTCTACCTGGAACCTATATCCCTCTGCTATTGTTCACCCTCCTGAGGCTTCCTCGAACAGCCTCACGGGCTCGGACTTGGATGTGCGGGCTGAAGTTGAACGTGCTTTGGGTGCAGGCCATGTTGCATTGCATGGCCTTACATGATAAGTGCAATATGCTGAAGTTTCTCAGGAGTTTCCCTAAACCCAAAGACCTAAACCATAAACCCAAAGCCCTAGATCTTAAACCCTAAATACCCTAAAACCTAAACCCCAAACCCTAAACCATTAGTCAGCTACACTGCATCTATGAGCCAAGACCCGAAACCTTTTCCCCCGAAGCCCAAACCCTAAACTCTAGGTAATCCAATCCTCACTATCCATCAACCTGCTTCTTCCAGCTTTGCTTTCCTGTTAGGTAAGACCCTCGGGCCGGCCACACCGAGAACAGTGCCAGCTATTAATCCCAAGGCCAAGGCGACGGCTACATCTGCTACTCCTATCAGGAGCCCTCCCTGTAAGAAGACAAAGAATAATGATGAGCTGCCTCCGCCGGTTCGCAAAGCTTCCTTTGGGTCGGGTACCCCAGCTGCAGTGTCATCCTGCAGCCAGTCTGTGTTCATGGCTCGGCTTTTCATTTTGTATGCTATTGGGCTTTGGATCGAGACTGGGTTCCTATCGCACTGGGTTCCTATCGATACTGGCTGCTAGGTGGTTCTGTGCCTCTGGAGTTGCAAGTTGCACTGTTTGGCTTAAGGGTTTAAAGTTAAAACCCTACAGTAACACCCTAAACCCAAAGCCCCTCCCAGAAACGGGGTTTAAGGTTTTAAGATTTAGGGCTTAAGGGGTTTAGGTTTGAGGGCTTAAGGTTTTAGGTTTTGGGGTCTTAGGGTTTTAGGGTTGAGAGTTTGGGGTTTAGCCTTCCTGGGCCACCTGAACCCCAAGCAAGCCACGAAACCCTGAACACCTACACGTGCTGTGTAAGCTATTATTATATTTATGTGTATATAT